GTTCTCTAACGTCATCCTAACTTGATTCCATAAGCAAAGATCTATTCCTAAACAAGGTGACATTCTGAAGTTCTAAGTTGACACAAAGGTAAAGGACAGTATTCGATCTAGTACAGGTGGTAGGACATGCTGGTTCCACACCTGGGCTCAGTATAGCAGGTGTGTGCCAGAGGCCCTGAGCTGCTTCCTGCCACCCCTGTAGCAGCCTGGCCTAGTTCTGGATGTGCGGCGCCATGAGAACACTGGAGGAAGATCTGGCACCAGAGAGACAACTACAAAAGTTCTCCCTGCCACAAGGCTGAACCTCTGCTCGAGACAGGCAGAGAGCAAAGCGAGCCTATCAGGGGAGGCCAGGTGCTTGACTCTGAGCAGAGAGCTCCAGGTCAGTGTACTCTGGAGCCCTGTGTAGCCCAGTGAGGCTGCACGGGGACCCTAGAAGGGGCCCAGTGTTTTATGGGACTGAAACTTAGTATTTCAGAGTCTTTTGTGAAGAAGGAAAACAAACTGGTGGCTCAAACCTCCAATCCCAGCAGCTGGGAGGTGGAGGCAGGAGGATGGAGTTCAAGGCCAGCTCTAAGAAATATAGCAAGATTGTCTCAAATGAAACAAAAGGGGGGACAACCCCACAAGGACCTAGGCACTACTCCAAGACATGGGATCCTTAGAGTCAAGACACTTTATATAAGCACAGACTCCTGTCGGGGTCCAGCCTCAACACAGGATTGGAGTTCTCAACTGGAAGCAGGGATATCTGTGTATATTATAATAAATATTCACAGACTACTTTTTGGGTACAAGCTGACAGGCAATTTTTCAAGGCTTAAAATTTCTCTCTCTTCTCTCTCAATCTCTGCTTTCTCTCTTGCTCGTTCGCTCGCAGCTTGAGGCTGCACACACTCCGTGTTCTCCTGTGCACTCTGCTTTTCTCCTGTGTGCTTTTCTTTTCTTGAACTCCCACACTCTTACACACCTCTGTGCGTTCCCCTTTGACTCTCACACACACTCTTCACACACATCTCACATACACCTCACACACACCACATACACTCTCCTTTCACTCACACACACACTCTCCATACACACCTCACATTCTCTCTTCACTCACTCTTCACATTCTTTCTTCACTCACTCTTCACATTCTCTTCTCATGCTCTCTCGGCTTTTTCTTGCCTCAGTCTTTTATTGATATTCCAAAAGCAGATAGAAAAAAAGACATTGTATAATCATTGCCAAATCAAATTCAAAAGAATAACCACATCCCACAAAGAACTAAGAATTACAATTGTTCCCCAAAGTTTCAAGCTTCCCTATCCCCAGGTCTGTAGCCAAAATAATAATAATTGCAAACTTGTCATTATTTAAACTTTAACTTTTGACTTATTATACTTGAGAGCTCCGAGCTCCGAGCTGAGCTACTTGCATTTTCCTGTGAAGCTCTAATGATAAATGACATGGGCAAAGCTGCCAGGCAGTGGCCAGAAAGAATCAACTTAGCCCTTAACTCGGTAGTTCTGCTAGCTTTCTGCTTCTGCACATTGCACACAATGACTCTCCTAAGAGTCCCAGTGTTTGGACTTAGTTCTACTAATATATAATTTTATGCATTCTATACTTGCTTATCCAGGAACCATTTTTAAATGCTGTGCAAAACTTCTATAATAACTTCAATAGTTTTTTCCTTTCTCGAGGTCCCAATGTTGGCTCTATTTCATTTTCTAATAATCTCTTCAAACTTTCTTTGCAAGTCAAGCATTAATCTGGAACTGCCATTGTGCAGTCTTTGCATTGTTCCCAAGATGAGAACACACAGCATGCACCTGGGCCATTAGGACTGTGCTGTGCAGTGCCCTATGTCTCAATTTTTAATTGTTTAAGAATCATTACATCAAGAAACGTCTAGTTTCACAGAATTCACCAGAGCAGGAGGAAGAAGTAAGAAAGTCAGATATAATAGAATAATTATGCATACCAAGGCCAACTGAAAAGCAGTCACGCACAAATGAAATCTATACAGCAGTTGTCCAGGGCTAAGGTTAGGAGAAATGGGAACAACTGTTTTTTTTACAAAGAGCTGCCGAACTCAGGCTTGTGAGATGTCTCCTGCAGGCAGTCCCTGTCATTGTACGCCGTCCCCAGCAGAGGCTCAGTACTGGCTGAGCCCTGTGGCAGGAAAACCCTTGAAGTTCTGGTGCCAGATCTTCCTTCAATGTCCCAATGGCCCAGGGCACCCAGGGCCAGGCCAGGCTGCTACAGGGATGGCAGAAAGATAAGCTGTATAACTTCTTTGTTCCCTGCCTGTTGAGCTCAGTAGGTCTGTGGTGTGACTCCCAGATTAATATGGGGAGGAAGACAGAGCTTTGCCCAACTTTTTAAACTGGAATCCAGTGAAATACACCATGATGTGCACCATGCTTTGGTGAATGACCTTGATTTCTTCCTTGATGCCATTGTTAGCACTCCCTGAGATAGCCACCATTCTAAAGGAAGAGTATGTGAGATCTACTTAGCATGTTTTTTTTTTTTTTGTTTTGTTTTGTTTTTGAGACAGCAGGGTTTTTAATAACAAAAATAGTATTTGTTTGGAGGGGCAGGGAGGGTTCCTGTGGTCAGAGGATGACTTGTGGTAGGCAGATGCCTCCTTTCAGCAGTGGGTCTGAGGACTGGACCCAGGTCACCAGGCTTAGCAGCAAGTGCCTTGACTGATCCACCAAGCCAGCTTGCTGGCCCTTCCTGTGTTAAGAGTGTCCTTTTATTGCCTATAGCTTCAGGAATTAATTCCCATGTTGCCTTCCAATGCCTCGGCAGAATGGTTTGAAAAGTTTTTCTTTTTTCTTTTTTTGCTTTTCGAGACAGGGTTTCTGTGTAGTCCTGGCTGTCCTAGAACTGACTCTGTAGACCAGGCTGGCCTCGAACTCAGAAATCCACCTGCCTCTGCCTCCCAAGTGCTGAGATTAAAGGCGTGCATCACCACCGCCCAGCTGATAGTCTTTTTTTTAAAAATTATTTTATTTATATGAGTACACTGTAGCTGTCTTTAGACACACCAGAAAAGGGCAGGTTGTAAGCCACCAGGTGGTTGCTGGGAATTAAACTCAGGATCTCTGGAAGAGCAGTCAGTGCTCTTAACCACTGAGCCATCTCTCCAGCCCTGATTGTTGATAGTCTTGCTACAGACTAGCCTTCAACTCACCCTCCTGCTTCAGTCCCTCCCCAGTGCTAGGACAACAGCACTAACCACCACAACAGGACTAAACCACCACACCCAGGACAAACTATTATTTTTGTTTCTGAGACAAGGTCTCAGTACATAGCCCTGGCTGGCCTCAAACTCAAGAGATCCTCCTGCCTCTGCTCCTTGAGTGCCCACAACGCCAGCACAAGCTACACAGTATGTTTTCACTCAGAGGGAAGCAGGTGCAGGCTTGGGGACAGAACCACTGATTCACAGGGGCACTGTCTGATTGACTTCACCGATTGACCTTGCTTGCCCCTGGAAGAACTGAGTGGACTGCTCCAGGTTCTCAGCAAACTCGGATGTGGCCCCCTTCAAATAGTCTAATGCTTGTGTGCATGCTGGCATCTTTGGCTTCCCCGACATCTCATAGAACAGGGCCCTTTGTTATGTATCGTGTCCAGTGTGTCCCATATTCTCCCCACCCTGACCTCACTTCCTTGGTCATTTGTAAATTATTTTGTGTGTATGCATTCGTGCACCACAGTGTAAGTGTGAAGGTCACAGAACAGCCTGAACAATTTTGCTCCTTCTACCACATGGGGCTCAGGTCACCAGGCTTGGCAGCACTGCATCTACTATTACTGATGAGCCATCTCCCTGGAGACAAGATCTCACTATATGGCTTTAGCTGTCCTGAAACTCAATATGTAGACCAGGTTGACCTTGAACTCAGATCTGTCTTCCTCTGCCTTCCTAGCACTAGGACTAAATGAATGTACAACCATCCCCAGCTAGTGTTATTTTTATTTATATAGCATGTTTGTGTGTGTATACCATGTGTACAGGGGCCCATAGGAGTTTGGCCCTCTGGGGGAGGAGCTGCCTCACCCAAAGGCTGGTAAATGCTGACCCCTGAGCCGTCTCACTAGGCCATAAATGCCATTTTAATAAAAAATGAGTACAATTTTATTACTTTATTTTTAAGGTTTATGTGTGTGGGTGTAGACGTGGAGGCCAGAGGACAACTTGTGGGAGTTATACACTGGTTCTTTCCAGCATGTGGTTTGTCCCCTTGATGGAAGGTTCTGGGTGACAGGAACCAGAGTTCAGGGTTTCCGGTCTAAGATTCACTCAGGTATGTACATCAATCACTCAGAAAAAAAGGAGGCAGGGGAGGCAGACTTAAGAGCTTTGGCAAGACTCAGGATGAGGATAAAGAGGGCAGCAAGGGTGGCTGTCATGAGCAGTGGGGTCCTAGGTCTACCTGAAGGTAGACAGGTTCTCTGACAGACAGGACTAGAATGAGAGGTTAGACAAAAAGCAGGGTGCTGTGGATGACATAAAGGTTTTTGGCTTGAGTCTTTAGAAGAATGGGGCCACTTTCTGCAGGGGTGATAAAGACAGAGATGCAGCTCTGGGAGGAAAGCCAGGAAATGCTTTAACATATGTGACATTTTAATGCTTATCAGTTGTTCCAGTGGAGAGGGTGACTTGTGCATGCAGGGACTCATCTGGGTTCAAGTACAAATTGAGAATCCTCTAACGAAGCTCTGAGACAGCCTGGTGGGTGTGACGGAGACAGGTTTGGGTTGGCCAGGCCTTTGAAGCACCCGGGAGGCCTGGGTAAAAGCAGTCTGGTACCTGGAGACCATGTGAAGAATAAGCTCCCAGCAGGAAGGGGAGGCCCTTGCCACAGATCGCCAATCTAACCAACACTCACTAAAGGTGAAGTGGCTCCCTAAAGATGAGGGGGTAACTATGGATGAGGAAAATGTTAATGTCCCCCAACACCCAAGCCCAGAACAGAAAAACCCTGGCTCCACTGTCACATTTGAAGCGACTTTATTAGAAGGCTGCTTGCCTTTGACAAACTCCAGTTACAGCATAGACTATGCAGACCGGTGACTTTTGCATTGATCTTGCATCCTGTTTGGATTTTCCACATCAGGCCATTCTGGGCAAAGGAGGCACAGTTGCCAAGTGGCCGGAGGATGGCTACTCATTGGGCAGTCACAGGCCAGAAGGGAGACCAGGTCACAGGTTGGGGAAGGCAGGCCACCCCGTCCTTCAGTCCTCACCCTCATACCAAATTCCTGGTAAAGCACCTCATTGCCTTGTCGTTCCAAAAGGGCAAAATAAATCCTTCCGGTCCAGGAAAGAATGTCAAGCCACCACCTTTCCCACTACCCTACCCGGCCTGAGGGGTCCTCCCTGTGCCTTTCCTTCTGTTTCTGGTGGGATGGACATGCCATCAGTGTGGGCAGCAGGCAAGGTCACTCTGTGGCCACTTTTCCATCTTGTCTCCCCATGCCCCACCAGGTGGTGACAGGAAGGTACAATCAAACCATGAACATAAATATGAATAAAAAAATGAACTTGAAAATGACAGGCTATTAATTAAACACATCTATAAAAATAGTTAGGACATAACTCTGTTCAAATAAATACAAAATAAATAGGCTCCAAGCAGAGTGGTACACGTGTGGAATGTGAGGCTGGTCCCGCTTGGCCCCATAGGGCCCTCAGAACAGACTTGAGAGCAGGCAAACAACCTACCCCAGGCTCGCAGTAAGTGCGGCAGTGCAGTGTCCAGCTTGTCCTTCTGAACCAAATCCTTTACCCAGTAAGACATAATTAAGGCCTTCAGCATCTTTTTCTTCTCATCGGGGCAGCAGACATGGGCAGGTACTCTGCCCACCCTCACACCACAGAACCAAACAATGAGTGTGGGGATGAGCTGGTGCCAGTCCTCACAGGGCTTAGGGGCAGCTCAGAGGACATCAGGCCCATGCAGGCAGCACAGATCCTCTGGGTTCCAGGTGCCAGCACTAGCTTTCAGCAAAGCCGTGCACCGAGGTGTCAGGCAGCCAGTGCCTGAGTACCAGGGCGCATCCAGGTGGCCTTGCTTGTGAGCTCAGAATAGGCAAGGACATAATGGTCCTTCTTCAGCTTCCAATACCACAGGTCCACATGGATCCTGCAGCTTGGGAAACAGGTTTGGAAGAGCAGCACTGAGGGAAGATGGACAGAAGGACAAGAGTGGGTACAGGCCCACTTTCTACCACAGTGCATCAGTGGAAAGATACAAGGGGCACAGGAATGCTCTTTGGACCAGAGGGATGCCGTAGCTGAGGTCAGGCTGCGTGAACGAGATGGAAGAACTAAGCTGGCATCCAAGCTCGCTATCTGGCAGGCACTGCGGAAAATGTCCTGTCTCTAGTGCAGGAGCCCACATCTTACTGACCCCTGGGCCCCAAGGAACATCCACAGGTCTTCCTTGGAAGAGACACAAAGGTCTGCCAGGTCAGCAGGACCAGCCCAGAGCTTGCCAGCTCCCTGCCCGTCCCCTGCGGTATCCTCGGTTTCACAGCTTGGGAAAGTCAGCTTAGTGTTGGCACATTCACAGAATGAGGCGGCTGCACACCCTGGGCTGCAGCCCAGGGTCACCAAGTCCGCCACCCTCCCGTCACCGAGACTGCACGCCCAGGGTGATCTTCAGGTTCTCATAGACCACGTAGCTGATGCTCACAGCTGGAATCACCTTCATGAAGTTGGGGGCCAGACCCCGGTATAGCCCAAAGGCCCCCTCAGTCCGTAGAATCTGTTTGAAGAGGCTGCTCATGGTTACCTCAGGGGCACCCTCAATGGAGGCTGTGGGAGAGAGGCCACTGGTCAGATGTGATCTGTCACCCACCCCAACTCCTAGAGACATGAAAGCCAGCCCAGGACCAGCCTTACCTTGTGCCTGCATCCGGGTCCTGACCAGGGCTAATGGGTAGCTGGCCAGCTGGCCACAGGTACTGGAGATAGTGCCACAGGCCAGGAGAACGAACACGCCAGGGTCTGCACTGTTCACTGCGTAGCGCTGTAACCAGGTATTCTTCAATGTCTAGAGGGAATGGGATACAGAGGTTAGCTTTAAAGAGCCAGTATGGGAGACAGACACCGGGGTGTGTGTGTGTGTGTGTGTGTGTGTGTGTGTGTGTGTGTGTGTGTG